GGTGGCGATGTCTTCTGACTGTGTGTGGCCACCATTTATTGACTGCACTCACCTTACCAGCTTAGTGGTTCGCTATGGTGAACACAAATGTAGATACTTATATATAACATGTGTATAGAGGGTATAAACAGCAAGAGAAGGTTTGGAGCCGCCATTTTGGTGAGGGCGGTGGCGTCGTCTGCACGACGCCACCGTGCAGACGACGGTGTTGTTTACTGGTTACCACGATGGTCTTTGGGCACCATACCAGTTTATTTGTACAAGTATGGTGAATAAAACAGGTAGATATTTATATATAATGTGTGTATATAGCGTAATAACACCACACAGTATTGTTGGAGGAGAAATATTAGTGCGTCTGGCCTTGAGGGCAGCAGCCATCAGCTGACTGTGTGAGGTCCTATGTCTTTGTGCCTGTACTCACCATACAAGCTTAGATGTACAGTTATGGTGAACAAAACATGTAGATACTTATATATACCGTCTGTATATAGTGAATTATAGAAAAAAACAGTATTGTGGGAAGAGAATTTGGGTGAGTCAGATGACTGGAGGGAGGGCGGGAGTGGCTGGCTGGTACACGGCGGTCACTCCTCATTACTTTTTGACTCATAATAGCTACTTAGTGGTTCGTTATTGTGAACAAATCATGCAGATACTTATATATAACCTGTGCTTATAGTGTAATAACAAAGTATTTGTTCACTGATTGATGAACATAATTGAATCAACAATATGCACACCATGCCGGTCGGTATGGGAGCCGGTCGGCCGAGCGGACAGCACGCTGGATTTGTGATCCTGTGGTCCTGGGTTCGATCCCAGGCGCCGGCGAGAAACAATGGGCAGAGTTTCTTTCACCCTATGCCCCTGTTACCTAGCAGTAAAATAGGTACCTGGGTGTTAGTCAGCTGTCACTGGCTGCTTCCTGGGGGTGGAGGCCTGGTCGAGGACCGGGCCGCGGGGACACTAAAAAGCCCCGAAATCATCTCAAGATAACCTCAAGAAGATAACCATTTTTTTGAGTACAGTGATGATTCACTCATTTCACTAATATTTCTCCTCCAACACTACTGTGTGGTGTTATATATAACGTCTTTATATAAGATATATAGCGTTATAAGTATTTACATGTTTTGTTAACCATAACAGTACATCTAAGCTTGTATGGTGAGTAAAGGCACAAAGACGTAGGACCTCACACAGTCAAGGCCAGACGCACTAATATTTCTCCTCCAACAATACTGTGTGGTGTTATTACGCTATATACACACATTATATATAAATATCTACCTGTTTTATTCACCATACTTGTACAAATAAACTGGTATGGTGCCCAAAGACCATCGTGGTAACCAGTAAACAACACCGTCGTCTGCACGGTGGCGTCGTGCAGACGACGCCACCGCCCTCACCAAAATGGAGGCTCCAAACCTTCTCTTGCTGTTTATACCCTCTATACACATGTTATATATAAGTATCTACATTTGTGTTCACCATAGCGAACCACTAAGCTGGTATGGTGAGTGCAGTCAATAAAAGGTGGCCACACACCGTAAGAAGACAATGCCACCACCCTCCCTCCCACAGCATTACTCCTCCCTCCATGGCGCACAGCACTAAATATCACCACAATCCTGCTATTATCAGAACCCTGGTCAGTTTTATCACAGTCAGGGGTCTTCTGTAATAATATCATTGCTACATAATAGCATGAACAAGTATATTTTGGCATTTTTAGGCGATGCTGTGGTCACAAGCTGAACAGCAGTGCTGTGAGCTCATGCTGCGTGTGTCAGGCTTGGTTGCTCACTCAATACTGCGGCCAATAACACCCGGGAGTTTGGCCCACGATTTTTAAAAAAAATGGCGTCTGTTTACAAGAGCCCTGATGAAGGTGTGGTGAACCCCGTGTATCCGTGGGCCGTTTAAATCTTGCAAAGTACTCCAACACATCATATGACGTGATGCGCAGTTGACTGGAAACACGTCCAACACGTCATATGACGTGATGCGCACTTTCAGAGTTAAGTCAGATTTAAATTCAGTTTTCAAATTCAAAAAGAATGTATATTCCTAATTGACTTAGTTTCCCTGCTAAATACAATTAGTTTTATTAGAGGCCATTTTCAAAGAACTAGAACACTTTGACATTAGAAATAATCACTAGACACTCAGAGAGAATTCTAACAACAACAGAGGCCCGAGACTGTTTAACACGCATCCACTACACGTAATGGACATAACTGGCTGACCCCTCAAAGTGTTCAAAAGAGAACTTGTCAAGCACCTCCAAAGGATACCTGATCAACTAGGCTGTGACTCAGACATCAGGCTACGAGCAGCCGCATCCAACAGCCTGATCGACCAGTCCAGCAACGAGGAGGCCTGGTCGACGACCACCCCAAAATCATCTTAAAGTAACCTCAAGATAGGTAAGGTAGGCAGAAGGTCAATGCTCATACTGGCACAATTCAGAATCAAACACAGGATATTGACAAAATTTACCTACCAATTGACTATATAGGATGAATTGTTCTATATATATAAAACATTTAGATTAAGATCATATTCAAACCTTTTACAAGGAGGTTAAAATTTTAAGACTACATTCTTTATCAGGTTTGGGGCCAAAACAATAAATATTTTTTAAATCAACAATTGCTGGTTTTATGAACAAAAAAGTTAAAAAAAACAAAAAAAAAACAAAAAAAAACAAAAACAGCGTTGAATGTAATGAAATGCCATTTTCTGGGCGAGTCCCAGAGGCTCCCCAGAGCTTACTAGGCTGATATGCTAATATCAGACTTTGGCATCAGTCATGTGTATGGAGTTCTTATGGGCCTTCCGGGCATCACGAGTCAGAACCTGGTCCCCTCTAGAGAGGCAAGGGTAGCAATGGCCTATAGAAACCCCCGTGTAATTTGGAAGCATTCTATGTCTGCCATCGACCGGGTTAGGCACCCAAAAAGGTAGGCGTCCCAAAACAAATCCATATTCTGGTGAAAATTGCAACCAAAAGCCGAACGAGGGGATAGAACTCCCCAAACAAAAATGAGCAAACTAGTGTGACGTCATTCGTCGTCGTACCGCTGTCTGCGTAGTCCCCCCCCCCTCCCCAGGAGGGGGAAGGGGCAGCCCCAGACCTACCGCGCCGGCAATCCACACCCCAGATCTGAGGCTGGATGTCAAAAACACGCGAAAAAAACGCCGACAGGAGGGAGGGAGGGATGCAGGGGCGCCTCCGGGACTCACCCAGAAAACCGTGTTTCATTACATTCAACGCTGGTTTTCTAGGGGGAGCCCCGTCGGCTCCCCGGAGCTAACTACCCACAGATGAAAGAATAGGGACTCACCTGGGAGGCAGTTGCTGCTCACTCCTCAACCCGAAGTCGAGACAACTGGCTGCATCCACCGACCCAAAGCGACACAGGCCCGACCGGGTCCAGGAACGTTTACATGGTAATGAGCAGCCAGGACCCTGTTCGACTGCCAAAATCCCCATGCCCGAATGTGAGCCAAGAACATATTGCCAAAGACGTTGGCATGAGCCGCAAACTTGCGAACGTCATGGGCAATGGGATAGACCGCAGGCTGACTAGCCTTAATGACCCTGCGGACGACCTGGGAGACTCGCACCCTCGAACAGGGAAGAAGGGAAACCGGATCAACCCAAAGCGCATCTACGGACACAGAAGCCGTGGCGTGCAAATAACGGCGGAGAGCCACAACCGGACACAAAACCTGATGCACCCCTGGCCGAACCAACCAAGCATCAACAACTCAAGGGCTCTGGAATGCAGCAATCTCATTCTTCACCAGAAAAGAAGAAGGCTGCAGACGAACAAAATGATCACCCCGACCGAAGGAGCAGAATTTCTGCGCTGGAGGAGAGCATGAAGCTCACCCACCTGACCCCCAGAGGCCAATGCCAACAGGAAAAAGAGCCTTAGAAAAAAAATCCGGAACCAAAGGGGCCACAACAAAACGAGGAGAAGAAAAAAAAGAGAGCACTCTATCCAAAGACCAGGATGGCTCAGGCGGCGCATGAGCAGGCCGGAGGTGAAACAATGCCCGAGACAGCTTGTGAAACGGCGCAGACGTGACATCAATACCAAAAGCAAGCTGAAGCGGCTCCGCCAGCGCCGCACGATACGAGACGACAGTGTTAGGCATAAGAAGACGGTCCTGGAACAGCCAAGAGAAAAAGGACAACACCACCCGAACCGAAAGGGAAGCATAACGACGAAGACGTAAGAAGAACCGGAAGGACCGCCAGGAAACTTCATTCTGCCGCCAAGACGAAGCCCGCAGGTGGGACACTAATAAGGAAGTCACCTGATCACTTTAGAGATGATGATGAACTCGAGTCAAAAATACCATACGCAAAGACTCGAGGAGAAGATCGAACCAGCCACGTGACATACCGGGCCGATCTGTCGGAAGAGGCGGAGCCACAAAAAACCTCCGGGTTCGGACACCGAGCAAGCAGCGCCTGAAACCACAGCTGGGCCGGCCACTAAGGGGCCAAGAGGACAACTCTCCCCTGGTATGTCTCTAAGCGAGTCAGGACCTGGAGGAACAGCTGAACTGGGGGGGAAAGAGGTACAGGAACCCCCACCTCGACCAGTTCTGCCGAAAGGCATTGACCCTGACAGCCTCGCAGTCAGGAAAGGGCGCCACATACAGGGGAAGGCGCCGCGACCACGCCGACGCAAAGTGGTCCATCTCGGAGTGTCTGAAGGGGGCCATTGCGCCCCTTGCCTCTCTAGAGGGTGCCAGGTTCTGGCTCGTGGTCCCCGGTAGGCCCATAAGAACTCCATACACATGACTGATGCCAAAGTCTGACATTAGCATATCAGCCTAGTAAGCTCCCAGGAGCCGTAGGGGCTCACCCCAGAAAAGCCTCATCTACTGCAGTGTCATATGAAGTTGGGTGAAAAAAGTGGACAAGCAGCACATCACTCTATCCTTCATATACACCAAACAATAATACTGACCTGTGACATATGTTCCTGAAGAGCAGCTGGGTCACCCACCTGGCTGGGCCCAGAGAAGTGGTTTCCATGAGAAGCAGGCAAAGCTTCACCAAGATTGTACAGCAGTGATACAGCTGCTTCAACATCCTCATATGACGATGCCTGCCACCGATTTAAAGTTGTCACAACATATTCCTTGCTTACCTGGTCGGGAGAATTTAACAAAGATTATAATAATAACAATTATATATATATTATTAGCCCCGATCAATAGAGGAAGGTTTCAATGCTCCCATATGCCAGACATATCTCAACATGATTAAATATTCATAAACAAAGGCTAACCATCTTATGATGCAAACAACATTAAGCAATAGGAAGAATTAATGATCATTTCATGAAACAATATAAAATATTCCTAAAATACAACTATATCACCCCATTATCTCTGATGTGAGGTGCTTACCTATCAGTTTCTATGGAAAGTGACATGTAGCTCCCCGAGCTCCACATTTTAGTGATTTGAACCAAGCGTATTTTAAATCCTTAAAGGATGGAGGTGGTTTTCACAACTTCACTGAAAACATTCCTGGTTGATACCTGGTTGATACCTGGTTGATGGGGTTCTGGGAGTTCTTCTACTCCCCAAGCCTGGCCTGAGGCCAGGCTTGACTTGTGAGAGTTTGGTCCACTAGGCTGTTGCTTGGAGCGGCCCGCAGGCCCACATACCCACCACAGCCCGGTTGGTCCGGCACTCCTTGGAGGAACAAATCTAGTTTCCTCTTGAAGATGTCCACGGTTGTTCCGGCAATATTTCTTATGCTTGCTGGGAGGACGTTGAACAACCGCAGACCTCTGATGTTCATACAGTGTTCTCTGATTGTGCCTATGGCACCTCTGCTCTTCACTGGTTCTATTCTGCATTTTCTTCCATATCGTTCACTCCAGTACGTTGTTATTTTACTGTGTAGATTTGATACTTGTCCCTCCAGTATCTTCCAGGTGTATATTATTTGATATCTCTCGTCTTCTTTCTAGTGAGTACATTTGAGACGATCCCAATAATTTAGATTCCACTGCACACCATAAAGTATTTCTCTTATGTTTAACTAGCTTATCTGCTTCTCTAACTTCCATCCATTTCATCTTAATTGGAAAAGGCTGTACCTGTCACTTTAACTATTCCCCTCAATATTTTGAATATAATGATCATATTCCTTTTAATCTCCTCCAGTTGTTTGAATCAGTTTCCTTAACCTGTCTGCACTGTTCAGACCTCTTATTTCAGGCCCCTTGCCTTCTTACAAACCAATTAACATTTTCAATCATCTTTTTGTGATTCCTTAGAAATGGATTGTATAACATTTCTACATATTCTAGTACTTCTCTGACATGGGCTGTCTCAGGACAAAGTGGAGATAAAAGAAAAGACATCACACATGGGACTAGGGCAAAACCAATTATCCTCAGATACCACCAAAACAAAATACTTCAACTAAGACAGCACTGTATTATGTTAGTGTATTTTTTGTGAGCAGCTAATTCTAAGTATTCTAGAGAGGGAGAGATAGACCAAGTATATTTCAGAGAAGACATAGAATCAATGCTATCTGGTGTAGTGGTATGAAGCCATAAGTATCACCTGTGAAAGTGTCATCAAACGTCATGTGACTCAGTGACCTAGCTCAGAAAAGGCAAGCCAAATTTGGTGGTAGTATACTGGCTGTGGGAAGGTTATTTTGAGGTTATCTTGAGATAATTTCGGGGCTTAGTGTCCCAGCGACCCAGGCAGCAGCCCGTGACAGCTGACTAATTCCCAGGTACTTATTTACTGCTAGGTAACAGGTGCATCAGGGTGAAAGAAACTCTGCCCACTGTTTCTCGCCGGTGCCCAGGTTTGAATCCGGGACCACAGGATCACACGTCCAGTGTTCTGTCCGCTCAGCCACCGGCTCCCCAAGCACAAGTTGAACTTGTGGGTAGGGTCAACAAGTTTCCCCAAACTGTGGTGATCATGAGTACACTAGTACGCTCCATCATATTTATTAGCTTATTCCAGTTTCCTATCATTGTAACTCAGTACTGGACCAAATGTTCTCTAGCACCTTATGATTTTACAACGCACTTTTTAAATTTACTCTGTGGCACCTGCACATAGATTAATACTGCCACTCTTCAGCCACGTATGAAAGATCTTGTGTTAAATTTGATATACTGTCTTCACTCAATTATCCGGACTATATGGGAAGGACCCCCGCCGGGTAATCACATGTTCCGGATAATAGTACTTTCTCACTTCTGAGTCCAAAAGTGACCATTTCCAAATATTTTTATACTACAAACAACATAATTTGAATTGCCTTGCCACATATAATTATTAAATATTCAACTAGAAACCTCAAGCTACCTTGTTGTTGTTCGTCTTCTTGATTGATGCCACACATCTTGAAGTTAAGAATTCTTGACAATTTACGTAACCTATACTAACACAACACTAAAATTAACACTTGGAATTACTGTACAGTTCATTAAGTAAAGTTAGTTTTGACTGCCAGCTGCTGACGCCTCACTGGTTGAGGGAGCTTGGCTTGCCTGAGAAGCCTTACTGGTTGAAGGCGCTTGGCTTGCCTGAGACGCCTCACTGGTTGAGGGAGCTTGGAGTGCCTGAGAAGCCTTACTGGTTGAAGGCGCTTGGCTTGCCTGTGACGCCTCACTGGTTGAAGGTACTTGGCTTGCCTGTGACACCTCACTGGTTGAGGGAGCTTGGCTTGCCTCTGACGCCTCACTGGTTGAAGGCGCTTGGCTTGCCTGTGACGCCTCACTGGTTGAAGGCGCTTGGCTTGCCTGTGACACCTCACTGGTTGAGGGAGCTTGGCTTGCCTGTGACGCCTCACTGGTTGAAGGCGCTTGGCTTGCCTGTGACGCCTCACTGGTTGAAGGTACTTGGCTTGCCTGTGACGCCTCACTGGTTGAAGGCGCTTGGCTTGCCTCTGACGCCTCACTGGTTGAAGGTACTTGGCTTGCCTGTGACGCCTCACTGGTTGAAGGCGCTTGGCTTGCCTGTGACGCCTCACTGGTTGAAGGCGCTTGGCTTGCCTGTGACGCCTCACTGGTTGAGGGAGCTTGGCTTGCCTGAGACGCCTTACTGGTTGAAGGCGCTTGGCTTGCCTGTGACGCCTCACTGGTTGAAGGTACTTGGCTTGCCTGTGACGCCTCACTGGTTGAAGGCGCTTGGCTTGCCTCTGACGCCTCACTGGTTGAAGGCGCTTGGCTTGCCTGTGACGCCTCACTGGTTGAAGGCGCTTGGCTTGCCTGTGATGCCTCGCTGGTTGAAGGCGCTTGGCTTGCCTGTGACGCCTCGCTGGTTGAAGGCGCTTGGCTTGCCTGAGATGCCTCACTGGTTGAAGGCGCTTGGCTTGCCTGTGATGCCTCGCTGGTTGAAGGCGCTTGGCTTGCCTGTGAGGCCTCACTGGTTGAAGGCGCTTGGCTTGCCTGTGATGCCTCACTGGTTGAAGGCGCTTGGCTTGCCTGTGACGCCTCACTGGTTGAAGGCGCTTGGCTTACCTGTGATGCCTCACTGGTTGAAGGCGCTTGGCTTGCCTGTGACGCCTCACTGGTTGAAGGCGCTTGGCTTACCTGTGATGCCTCACTGGTTGAAGGCGCTTGGCTTGCCTGTGATGCCTCGCTGGTTGAAGGCGCTTGGCTTGCCTGTGATGCCTCGCTGGTTGAAGGCGCTTGGCTTGCCTGTGACGCCTCGCTGGTTGAAGGCGCTTGGCTTGCCTGTGATGCCTCGCTGGTTGAAGGCGCTTGGCTTGCCTGTGATGCCTCACTGGTTGAAGGCGCTTGGCTTGCCTGTGATGCCTCGCTGGTTGAAGGCGCTTGGCTTGCCTGTGAGGCCTCACTGGTTGAAGGCGCTTGGCTTGCCTGTGACGCCTCACTGGTTGAAGGCACTTGGCTTGCCTGTGACGCCTCACTGGTTGAAGGCGCTTGGCTTGCCTGTGATGCCTCACTGGTTGAAGGCACCTGGGTTGCCTGTGATGCCTCACTGGTTGAAGGCGCTTGGCTTGCCTGTGACGCCTCACTGGTTGAAGGCGCTTGGCTTGCCTGTGATGCCTCACTGGTTGAAGGCGCTTGGCTTGCCTGTGATGCCTCACTGGTTGAAGGCGCTTGGCTTGCCTGTGACGCTTCGCTGGTTGAAGGCGCTTGGCTTGCCTGTGACGCCTCACTGGTTGAAGGCGCTTGGCTTACCTGTGATGCCTCACTGGTTGAAGGCGCTTGGCTTGCCTGTGACGCCTCACTGGTTGAAGGTACTTGGCTTGCCTGTGACGCCTCACTGGTTGAAGGCACTTGGCTTGCCTGTGACGCCTCACTGGTTGAAGGCGCTTGGCTTGCCTGTGATGCCTCGCTGGTTGAAGGCGCTTGGCTTGCCTGTGATGCCTCACTGGTTGAAGGCGCTTGGCTTGCCTGTGATGCCTCGCTGGTTGAAAGCGCTTGGCTTGCCTGTGAGGCCTCACTGGTTGAAGGCGCTTGGCTTGCCTGTGAGGCCTCACTGGTTGAAGGCGCTTGGCTTGCCTGTGACGCCTCACTGGTTGAAGGCACTTGGCTTGCCTGTGACGCCTCACTGGTTGAAGGTGCTTGGCTTGCCTGTGATGCCTCACTGGTTGAAGGCACCTGGGTTGCCTGTGATGCCTCACTGGTTGAAGGCGCTTGGCTTGCCTGTGACGCCTCACTGGTTGAAGGCGCTTGGCTTGCCTGTGATGCCTCACTGGTTGAAGGCGCTTGGCTTGCCTGTGATGCCTCACTGGTTGAAGGCGCTTGGCTTGCCTGTGACGCCTCGCTGGTTGAAGGCGCTTGGCTTGCCTGTGACGCCTCACTGGTTGAAGGCGCTTGGCTTGCCTGTGATGCCTCACTGGTTGAAGGCGCTTGGCTTGCCTGTGACGCCTCACTGGTTGAAGGTACTTGGCTTGCCTGTGACGCCTCACTGGTTGAAGGCGCTTGGCTTGCCTGTGATGCCTCGCTGGTTGAAGGCGCTTGGCTTGCCTGTGATGCCTCGCTGGTTGAAGGCGCTTGGCTTGCCTGTGATGCCTCGCTGGTTGAAAGCGCTTGGCTTGCCTGTGAGGCCTCACTGGTTGAAGGCGCTTGGCTTGCCTGTGAGGCCTCACTGGTTGAAGGCGCTTGGCTTGCCTGTGAGGCCTCACTGGTTG